TTATTTATTTTTTGACACAGAGAGAGAGACAGCTAGAGAGGGAACACAAGCAGGGGGAGTGGGAGGAGGGAGAAGCAGGCTCCCTGCTCTGCAGGGAGCCCGATGTGGGGCTCAATCCCAGGACCCTGGGATCGTGACGTGAGCCAAAGGCGGAGGCTGAACAACTGAGCCACCCAGGCACCCCACCGAGGGCATTATAAAGAGAGGATGAGGGAGTCATGCCAGAGGTGAATTAAATCAGAGAAGTAAAAGATTACAAAAAGTGGGAAACGTGAAACCCCCTGCATTTACTCACTGGGAGACAGAGGCCAGACTTTTCATTGTTGGCTGAACAAACCATGGATGCCTTGAGTTTTCTCAGTAGGGACTAAGGGTGACTGGAGTCACCCTAGGGGTGGGGTCTTGAGCTGTTGTTAGGAAGTATGTTAGTGTTTGGGCGAGTCTGCATATGATAAGCCAAGGTTGAGGCCCCTTTGAGAAGAGGGCTCAGAGGAGTCAGGCTAGCGTTTGCTTAAGGAGAGAGTCTTTGTGAGTGTAAAATGGTGTGGTCCTTTGTATGTAGTGTGCATATACCACAATTTTTTCATCTGTTCATCTGATGATCAGGCATGTTGTTGTATCCAATTTTTTGGTCATTGTGAATAGGCTACAATAAACATTCTTAGAGCAGTCTTAAATTTCTCTTGAAATTGCTTAGTGGAATTGCTTAGTCACAGCGAAGGGATATATTGAACTGCTAGACTAATTTCCAAAGTGGTTTATCAGTTTACACTTCCCACCAGCAATACAGTAACACTCCAGTTGCTCAGCATCCTCGTGAACATTCTGTGTTGTCAGTGAGGGTGAAATAGCATCTCATTATGGTTTCACATTGCATTTCCCTGGTGAAGCATGATCTTAGGCACCTTTTCGTGTGTTTCTTGGGCATTCCGACATCTTTTGTGACCTGTCGAACGTTCAAGTCTTCTGCCCGTTTTTGTTGTTAATGTTGTTTTTGGTTTTGACTTATTGGAGTTTATTATATATTCTGAATAGGAATTCTTTGTCATACAGATGTATTTTAAAAATACATGTATAGGAAAATAAAAATTTTAAATACTTAGAGTAGCATCAAAGCACGTAAACTGGTTGGGGTGACTGGCTGGCCCAGTTGATGAATCATCTGTGTTTTGATCTCAGCTCAGGTCTTAAACTCAGGGTTGTGAGTTCAAGCCCTGCACTGGGCTCCATGCTGGGTGTGGAGCCTACTTACACAACAAAAACAACAACCAAAACAACCCCAAACTGGCTGGGAATAAGTCTCATGAAAGACATGAAACACCTTTACACAGAAAAGTAAAAAACTTTGTTGAGAGGAATTCAAGAAGACTGAAATAAATGGGAGCTCTGTTTTGTTCATACATCGGGGAAGATTTGATGTCCTGGAGATTTCTGTTCTCCACGCCTTGATTCATGCAAACAGTGCAATCCCAGTTAAATCCTAGCCATGTTTTTTAGAAGAAATGAACAAGTTGATTCTAAAATGTATATGGAAATGCAAAGGGTCTGGAATGGCCAAAAAAGTCTTCAAAAGAAGAACACAGTTGATGAACTTACACTGCTTCTTCTTGCTTAATTTTAAGACTTAGAGCAAAGCCACAGTAATCCAAGTCTTTGACACAAAGAGAGATCAATGAGCAGAGCAGAGAGTCCAAAAAATAGACCAAACGCAAGTACTGTCGACTGATTTTTGCCCAGAGTGTCCAGTCAGTTCAGTGGTGGAAAGGGAAGTCTTTTTAATGAATAATTCTGTGTGACCTGGACATTCAGGCGGAAAGAAAACGGACCTTGACCCCTCCCTCATTCTGACATACACACATTAATTTGGGATGAATCATAAACCTAAATATGAAAGCGAGAACCAGCGGCGCCTGGGTGGCTCAGTCGCTTGAGTCCGACTCTTGATTTTGGCTGAGGTCATGATCTCGGGGTCATGAGATTGAGCTCCGTGTGAACCCTGTGTCAGGCTCCACGCTAAGCGAGGAGTCAGCTTGAGATTCTTTCCCTCTCCTGCTCCCCCCTGGGCGCGCTCTCTCTCAAATAAATAAATCTTAAAAAAGGAAAAAGCTAGAACCGTAAAACTTTTGTATGAAAACATGGGAAAATGTCTTGACAACCTTGAGGTAGACAAATGTTTTGTATGCAGAACACAAAAAGTTCTAATTAGAAAGGAAAAATAGATACACTAAGAAAACGAAGAGGCAAGACAGACTGGGAGAAAATATTCAGAATACGTGTTCTTAAATGTTTTATTTTTTCCAAAAGTACTTTAGCATTATTCAGATCCATGGTATCTTATTAGTGTATTCTTTATTAACTGTTTTTTTCTTTTTTCTTTTTTGTTTAAGTCAGATATGAGACATTGTACCGTGGGAAATTTCTGATTGGCTTCTCCTCCTTATTCACCCTCTGGTCAATGTTGGTTCCTTTTCCGTTCATGTCTTGCCCAGTGTTCAGGGACTCCTTGCAGTAGAGACAGTAGATTTTAGATCCTATTGATCCTTGTGAAGTAACTGGCAATTCGATGAAGCCAGAAAGCAATAGCAGTAGCTTCCTTTGGGAGGAAATGATAGCCTGTGAGTCTTAGTCAATTGAGGCCCAGTGTTGTTTTTTGTTTTTTTGTTTTAAGATTTTATTTATTTATTTATTTATTTATTTATTTATTTATTTATTTATTTGAGAGAGCGAGACAGAGTGGAGGGGGGCAGGGGGAGAGGGACAAGCAGAATCTGCACTGAGCGTGGAGCCTGAACACGGGGTTCGATCTCAGGAACCTGAGGTCATGACCTGAGCCGAATCAAGCGTCAGACACTTAAACGCCTGAGCCGCCTAGGCACCCCTGTTTTTCGTGTTTTTTTGTCTTTTGTTTTTGTTTTGTTTTTCTTAGGTGATTAAACACTTAAGGCCTTGCGGATCTGCTGAGGAAAGCAACAGCGCTCACAAGAAGGGAAACAAACTCAAAGTCTGTGTAGGTACAAAGTCTGTTGCGCGTAAGACTTTGCTTCCTGCCTTCCATTTATAAGCAAGAATAAACGCAACAGGAAATAGGAACCCAAAACTGAGACTAGAGGACGTAAAAGAACAACAATAAAATTAAAAATGAGAGGTAGAGCATATCTTCAAGGCCCGTATGCAGCATGCAGTTAAAATTCCCAACTTGAAAACCGATGCTGAGAGTATTGGATTGAGTCTTGCAATTGCAGATATATACATTGTAGGTACATATATATGTACATACAGGGCACCGCATATCTATCTATCTATCTATCTATCTATCTATCTATCTATCTATCTATCTATCTACATGCACTGTGTATCCCTACAGAAGCAGACACACATACACACCGACACCATATCAGCAACTGAAGTGTTGGGGGAGGGATGGAAGTCCAAGTGGGTAAGTAGGTTTGCAAAGCAATGGAATTAAGTTTCCTCCGAGGTTGCACAGCTTGAGGAAACAACCTCGACCTCTGTCTGTAAGCGGTGCCTTCCACAGAGGGTGCTTCTGAGGGCTGTACGTGTTCCTGTTTGTCCAGCGTGTGGAATAATGCCTGGCATTGTAGCCAGCACTCATGAGTGTTGATGAGAAGTGAAATGAAGCAGCCCCAGCCTGGACCCTCACTGGCTGGAAGAGCGGGGAGGGCCCCTTCCCATTCCCTCCGGTGGAGGGCATGTCACACCTTTCCTAGCAAGTTCCCACCGTTGCAGGGGACGCTCCTGCCGAAGGGGCCAAGTCAGTCAGTGCTTCTTGAATGAACTGGTGGCTGCAGCAGATCAGTGTTTCCCACGGGAGGAATGGGAGATGACTTGAGGTGGCACCCAGATAGAAGTTTTACATTTTAATAGGTATTTATTACAGGGTGTGTTAGAAGAAAATATTAGGTAGCACGTCAGACCTGGGTACTAAAAAGAAGTGAAAATTGCAGGGAACACTGGATTGAATAAACCCTGAGAAAAGGTCTTTCTAAATATGGGATCTTTTTTTTCCTTCTTTAAAGATTTTATTTCTTTATTTTGACAGAGACAGTGAGAGCGGGAACACAAGCAGGGGGAGTGGGAGAGGGAGAAGCAGGCTTCCCGCTGAGCGGGGAGCCCGACGCGGGCCTCGATCCCAGGACCCTGGGATCATGACCTGAGTCGAAGGCAGACACTTAACGACTAAGCCACCCAGGCGCCCCTAAATATGACATCTTAAGTCAAGCAGAGAAAGTCACTTATCATATGGTTTTACTTACTTGTGGAACATAAGGAATTGCGTGGACGACTTTAGGAGAAGGAAGGGAAAAATGAAGGGGGCGAGATCGGAGGGGGAGACTAACCATGAGAGACTATGGACTCTGAGAAGCAAACAGAGGGTGTTAGAGGGGAGGGATGTGGGGCGATGCGTTAGCCCGGTGATGGGTATTAAGGAGGGCACGTATTGCATGGAGCCCTGGGTGTTATACGCAAACAATGAATCATGGAACAACTACATGAAAAACTAACCGATGTACTGTATGGTGACCAGCATAGCACAATAAAGAAAAAATAAATAAAGAGATCTTTCATTCTTTGGGTTTTATTTTATCTATTTATTTGTTTAACTTTTTGAGAGCGAGAACACATGTGAACGGTGGTAGGGAGGGGAGGGGAGGGGAGAGAGAAAGATCCCAAGCAGGCTGCACGCCCAGTGCGGAGCCAGACGTGGGGCTCCATGTCAAGACTCTGAGATCACAACCTGAGCCTCAGCCAGGACTCGGTTGCCCAACAGACTGCGCCACCCAGGCGCCCAGATTCACTCTTGATGTGTCCTGCAGTCACTGTGCACCATGTTGGAGTTGTCATTATCTGTGCACGTGGACGTGCTCGGTCTTCCTCGTGGCGTGGCTGGACCGCTGCACCTGCAGCCCCTGGCTGCTTCGGTCCACGTACCATTTAAGGGCCATTTGAAGAAGGAGCGCAAATCCCGATTGCTATTCCAGAACCATCCGTTGAGACCTTCTGACGAGATCAAGAAAGACAGAGGAACACAGCCTACACCTGGAGGGTCGGGAGCTTGGAAAGCAATCTCAGAGCCGGTGATGGCGATCTCTTCAGAAACTCAGCCTCGCCAGTGCCCTTGGCGGCTCGAAGGTCAGTGTTGTGTGGCAACTCACAGATCTCCTGAAAGGGAAGACTTGACCAACTCATGTCACTCATCCTTTCCCTTTTGTTCTGTCCCAAAAGTCTAAAAGGGCTTTTTCATAAACATGAAATGAGAATTGTAAGCAATAAGAAAGACATGGACTAACTGGCAGTGTTTCTTTTTTCTTTTTTCAGTCTTACAATTGATGGTGTCTTAGAATGAAATATGGCCTATGGTTAGTTTAGAAAAATTATAAAACAGAGAGAAATGAAAACACATACAGCCCAGAAATCTCTGAGCTTTCACCTGTTTCTCTGCTGTTCTTCAACCTCCCTGTATACCTTCTGCTACTGGAACATTCCGAGGCGCTTCCTGCCCCCATGCTGTTGTCCTTCATCTGGCATAAGCTCTGACTTCTCTGTGTCTCTGTCGCTGTGTCTTCCCGGGTTCCCCACTGTATCCCCAGTGCCTGGCACTTAGCAGACACTCAACAAGTATTGCTTGACTGGATCAAGAGTGTTAAACTGAGGGCGAGCACAGAAGCTGCTCCTTGTCATCCAGGAGAGGGCAGTAGGAAGGACAGGGAGGAGCTCCTAGAGGAAGGCGGCTTGGTCAGCTTTTCAGCAGGTAGAGCTGCTCAGCGGGGGAGCGAGTGCCTCCGTGGTGGGGCGTGCTCAGGCAGTAGCTCGGTGTTGTTGAAGGGTGCTTGCCCTGCATGTCAGGGTCGACCAGGTCATTTGGAAGGCCCCTTCCAACCAGACATCCATGTTTGCGGACTCTTCTCCCGGGTCTGTGGTTCTTTCTCGACTGCAGATAGGGCTTTTACCACTGGATGGCACCAGATGAAGGCTGTGAGGACAGTGCTCATCCAACCACCCACAGTGAGAACACAGTTTTTTCTCTTTTCATTATGGAAGTATCGTTGATCTGTACAATGTTATGTCAGTTTCAGGTGTGCAGCATCGTGATTCGACAAGTTTGCTCATTACTCAGCACTCACCACGATTAAGTATAGTCACCATCTGTCACGGTACAGTTGTTATGACAATATTATTGGACTATATTCCGGATGTTGTACTTTTCATCTTTGTGAGTTATTTATATAAGTGGAAGCTTGTAACTCTGAATTTCTTTGACCAATTTCGCCCCCCCCCTTTCCGTCTGGCAACCATCAGTTTGCTCTCGGTGTTTAAGGGTCTATTTTTTTTGTTTGTGTAGAGAACAGATTTTTCATGGCACTTATACCCCAAACACACACTTCAACAACTTCACAGAAACAGTCTTTAACTCGTACAGTATGTAACGCATACTGATTTTTTCTAGTTTACTCTAGCTGACTGCATTTTCTAAGACGGGGATTTGCAAACTATTACACTGATTTTATGACACGGATGGGTCACAATCCACTGTTTGAAAAGCACTGTTTTAGACAACGCAGCCTGTTCAGCCTTGTAAAACTCTGTGGGTCAGTTTTCCTTGACAGTCTGGGCTGTAGCAAGTTGTGTCCCTTAGTGAGTACTTGGTGTGTTTCTGTGTTGAGCTGCTGCCTTGAGCAGCAGTAGGTATGTGCTTCCTTATGGGTGTCTGTGGATGTGGGAATATGGACGTGGGAGATGGCGGGGGGCGTGTTTGTACAGGATTAGCACCTACTGTAGTCCAGGCAGCGGTAAGCCTTGTCAGTGGATATGAAGAGAAGATATATTATCTGTCTGCTTCTGGGAGCTCAGAACCCAGCTGGGTGACATCACATACACATACACACACACACACGAGCGTGCACACCCCCCCACACACACACCCCCTCCCCTCCCCCCCCACACCCCCTACCCCTTTCAGCTTACTCATCAAGCAAATGGAAATGAACTGATGCGCTCAGAATACCACTTAGGACATTTCAGGGTGTAACAGAAGACCAACTCCATTTGGTTTATTTATTACTTTTTTTAATGTAAATTCAATTAGCCAACTTACAGTACATCATTAGATTCAGATGTCGTGTTCAGTAGTTTGTCAGTTTCATATAACACCCAGTGCTCATCACATCACATGCCCTCCTTAGTGCCCATCACCGAATTACTCCATCCCCCCACCCACCACCCCTCCAGCAACCCTCCCGTTTGTTTGCTAGAGTTAAGAGTCTCTTACGGTTTTTCTCCATCGCTGATGACTTCCCATTCTGTTTTCCTTCCCTTCCCCTACAGTCCTCTGCCCTGTTTCTTATATTGCACATATGAGTGAAACCATTTGATATTTGACTTTCTCGGATTGACTTATTTCGCTCAGCATAATACCCTCCAGTTCCATCCGTGTGCATGTAAATGGTAAGTATTCATCTTGTCTGTTGGCTGGGTAATAGTCCATTGTGTGTATGTGTGTATATATATACACACATATATATATGTGTATATATATACACACACATACACACACACACATATATATATATACCACATCTTCTTTATCCATTCATCTGATAAGACATTTGCAAATATCTTCTCCCATTCCGTAGGTTGCCTTTTAGTTTTGCGGACCTTTTCCTTTGCTGTGCAGAAGCTTTTTCTCTTGATGAAGTTGCAATAGTTCATTTTTGCTTTTGCTCCCTCGCCTTTGTAGATGTATGTAGCAAGTAGTCGCTGCGGTTGAGGTCGAAGAACTTCCTGCCTGTGTTCTCCTCTAGGATTTTGATGGATTCCTGTCTCACAGTAAGGTCTTCCATCCATCTTGAGTTTATCTTTGTGTATGGTGCCAAAAAATGGTCCCGTTTTATTCTTCTACATGTGGCTGTCCAGTTTTCCCAGTACCATTTATTGAAGAGACTGTCCTTTTTCCACTGGATATTCTTTCCTGCTTTGTCGAAGATTAGTTGACCATAGAGTTGAGGGTCCATTTCTGGGTTCTGTCTTCTGTTCCGTTGATCCATGTGTCTGTTTTTGTGCCAGAACCATACTGTCTTGATGATTACAGCTTTGTACTCTAGCTTGAAGTCTGGCATTGTGATGCCACTAGCTTTGGTTTTCGTTATCAACATTCCTCTGGCCATTCGGGGTCTTCTCTGGTTCCATACACATTTTAGGATGATTTGTTACAGTCTGTGAAAAAAGTTGATGGTATTTTGATGGGGATCTCATCGAATGGTTCGATTACTCTGTGTAGACATTTTAACAGTGTTTTTCCAATCCATGAGCATGGAACGTTGTTTCATTTCTTTGTGTCTTCCTCAATTTCTTTGCTAAGTGTTGTGTAGTTTTTGGAGTACAGATCCTTTACGTCTTTGGTTAGGTTTATTCTTAGGTATCTTATGGGTTTCAGTGCATTTGTAAATGGGATCGATTCCTTCATTTCTCGTTCTTCTGTCTCATTGTTAGTGTATGGAAATGCAACTCATTTCTGTGCATTGATTTTATATCCTGCTGAATTCTTGTATGAGTTCTAGCAATTTTGGGGTGGTGTTTTGGGTTTTCCACATAAAGTATCATGTCATCTGCAAAGAGTGAGAGTTTGACTTCTTTGCTCAGTCGGATGCCTTTGATTTCTTTTTTGTTGTTTTCTGATTGCTGAGGCTAGGACTTCTCTAGTTGAAGAACTGCGGTGAGAGTGGGCCTCCCTGTCATGTTCCTGACCTTAGAGGAAAAGGTCCCCGTGTTTCCCCATTGAGAATGATATTCGCTGTGGGCTTTTCATAGATGGGTTTTATGTTATTGAGGTATATCCCCTCTACCCCTATACTGTGGAGAGTTTTAATCAAGAAAGGATGCTGCATTTTGTCCGGTGCTTTTTCTGCATCCGTTGAGAGGATCATACGGATCTTGACCTTTCTTTTATTAATGTGAAGTATCACATTGATTTGATTTGCGAATGTGGAACCACCCTTAGAGCCCAGGAATAAATCCCACTTCGTCACGGTGAATACTCCTTTTAATGTGCTGTTGGATCCTATGCGCTAGTATTGTGCTGAGAATTTTTGCATCCATGGGGTCTTTGTCTGTTTTTGGGATCAAGGTCATGCTGGCCTTAGAGAACAAGTTTGGAAGTTTTCCTTCCATTTCTGTTTTTTGAAACAGCCTCAGAAGAATAGGTATTAGTTTTTCTTTGAATGTTTGGTGGAATGCCCCTGGGAAGCCATGTGGCCCTGGACTCTTGTGTGTTGGTAGATTTTTTGATCACTGCTTCAGTTTCCTTGCTGGTTATGGGTCTGTTCAGGTTTTGTATTTCTTCCTGATTCAGTTTTGGTGGCTTACAAGTTTCCAGGAACGCATCCATTTCTTTCAGATGACCTCATTTGTTGTCCTATAGTTGCTGTGTGTGTTCTTAAGATGGTTTGTGTTTCTTTGGTGTTGGTTGTGATCTCTCCTCTTTCATTCATGACATTATTATTTTGGGTCCTTTCCCCTTTCTTTTGGATAAGTGTGGCTTGAGGTTCATCAAGCTTATTAATAATTTCAAAGAACCGGCTCCTGGTTTCATTGATTGTTCTACTGTTCTTCTGGTTTCTATTTCATTGTTTTCTGCTCTAATCTCTATAATTTCTCTTCTCCTGCTTGGTTTCGGCTTTAGTTGCTGTTCATTCTCCGGCTCCTTTGGGCGTAAGGTTAGCTTGTGTATTGGAGACTTTCTGATTTTTTGAGGAAAGCTTGTATTGCTATGTACTTTCCTCTTAGGACCGCCTTTGCTGGATCCCAAAGGTTTTGAACGGCTGTGTTTTCAGTTTCATTCATTTCCATGAAATCTTTAATTCTTCTTTGATTTCCTGGTTGATGCATTCATTCTTTCGTAGGATGCTCTTTAGCCTCCGAGTGTTTGAGTTCCTTCCCTATTTCCTGTTGTGACTGAGTTCCTGTTTCAAAGCATAGTGGTCTGAAAAGAGGCAGGGAATAATCCCAATCTTTTGGTATCGGTTGAGACCTGATTTGTGCCCCGGTATGGGATCTCTTCTGGAGAATGTTCCATGTGCCCTGTAGAAGAATGTGTATTCTGTTGCTTTAGGATGGCATGCTGTGATGTACCTGTGAAGTCCATCTGGTCCAGTGTGTCATTCAGAGCCCTTGTTTCCTTGTTGATCATCTGCTTAGATGATCTGTGCATTGCTGGGAGTGGGGTGTTGAAGTCCCCTACAGTTATTGTATGATTCTCGTCGTGTTTCCTTCATTTGGTTCTTAATTGGTTTATGTAATTGGCTGCTCAAGTTAGGAGCATATATATTTATAATTGTTAGATCTTCTCGTTGGGTAGGCCCTTGAAGTATGATATAGCATCCTTCTTCATCCCCTAATACAGTCTTTGGTTTAAAATCTAATTTGTCTGATAGGAGGATTGCTACCCCAGCTTTCTTTTGAGGTCCATTCGCGTGATCAATGGATCTCTACCCCCTCACTTTCGATCTGGAGGTGTCTTTAGTTCTACAATGAGTCTCTTGTAGATAGCATATGGATGGGTCTTGCTTTTTTATGCAGTCGGATACCCTGTGTCTTTTTTTTTTTTTTAAATGATGACTTTTTTTTTGAAGATTTTATTTATTCATTTGAGACACAGAGATACAGGGAGAGAGAGAGAGAGCGAGAGAGAGCATGAGCAGGGAGAGAGGCAGAGGGAGAGGGGGAGAAGCAGGCTCCCCGCTGAGCCAGGAGCCCGATGCGGGGCTCGATCCCAGGACCCTGGGATCATGACCTGAGCCGAAGCCAGACGCTTAACCATCTGAGCCCCCCAGGCGCCCCTACCCTGTGTCTTTTGATTGGAGCATTTAGCCCATTTAGATTCCGAGTAACTATTGAGAGAGATGAGTTTAGTACCGTTGTATTACCTGTATAGTCCCTGTTTCTGTAGATCTTTTTCTTTCTGGTCCAGTGTTACTTTTGGGCTCTCTCTTGGCATAGAGGATCCCTTTTAGTATTTCTTTCTTTCTTTTTTTTTTTTTTAAGATTTTATTTATTTGACAGAGAGAGACACAGCGAGAGAGGGAACACAAGCAGGGGGAGTAGGAGAGGAAGAAGCAGGCTTCCCGCGGAGCAGGGAGCCCAGTGCGGGGCTCGATCCCAGGACCCTGGGATCATGACCTGATCTGAAGGCAGATGCTTAGCCGACTGAGCCACCCAAGCGTCCCCCCCTTTAGTATTTCTTGCAGGGCTCGTTTAGTGGTCCCATAGTCTTTCAGTTTCTATTTGTCCAGGAAGCCCTTTAGCTCTCCTTCCATTCTGAATGACAGCCTTGCTGGAGAAAGTATTCTTGGCTGTATGTTTTTCTCATTTAGTACCCTGAATAGATGATGTCAGCCCTTTCTGGCCTCCCAGATCTCTGTGGATAGGTCTGCTGCCAGCCTAATGTTCCTACCCGTCTAGGTTAGGAACCTCTTGTCTTGAGATGCTTTCCGGATTTTCTCTTTATTTCTGAAATTTGCAAGCTTCGCTACTGTATGTCAGGGTGCTGATATATTTTTATTGATTTGGAAACGGGTTCTCTCTACCTCTTGAACTTGTATGCCTGTATCCTTCCCCAGATTAGGAAAGTTCTCAGCTATGATTTGTTCATATATACCTTCTGTCCCTCTTTCTCTCTCTCTCTTTCTCCTCAGGGCCTGCAGTAACTCCTCAGCGGGGAGTCTGCTTGCTTCAGGATTTTTCTTTCCCTCTGCCCCTTCCCCCGCTCACTCTCTAAAATAAATAAATCTTTCAAAACAAAAGGAAGAGATCGAAGGAGGGAGGCAAGATGGTGGCACGGTAGGGGAGCTCGTTTCATCTGGTCCCTTGAATGTAGCTAGATAACTATCAAATCATCCTGGACACCTCTGAATTCAACCTGAGATGTAAGGAAGGAATTGCTGGAATTCTACTAATAGACAAGTGACCACTTTTTGCAAAGTAAGAGGTGCGGAGAAGTGAATCTGCGGGGATATATGGGAAGATCCTCTGCGGGGAGAGGGAGCCTGTGTAAGCCGGCCACAGGCAAGTGATACAGCCCCAGAGCGCAAAATCAGAACCTTTAGAAATCTTCTCCGCTAAGAGATAGCCCTGCCTGAAAGGTGCTCTGGTGGCAAGGTGGGGCAGCATCCAAGGTGGGACAGTGTGACCTCAGGATCCCTGGGGTCACAGGAAGAACAGGGGTGCTTGAGCCGGCAGAGTTCCCAGGCACTGGAGTGGGGAAACTGGTTAGGGTCAGGGAGCAGGGGGGGTTCTCAACTCAGTTTGCCATAAACCACGAACCACGGCTCATCTGGGTGACAGCTATTGTATGCGGGTCCTGCACAGGGCAGACAAGGCGGCGCCCCTCTGCCTTCTCCCAGGAGGATCGGTGCAGGCCCTCACCACAGGAGCCTGCAGACTTTGGCACACACAAAACTGAAGACCGCTTATCCCTGACAGTTTACTGAAGAGAGGGGACCTCGATCTTTTCGCTCCGGGCCTGGAAATCGGGGCGTGGCCATTTTTCTTTTCATCCTCTCAAGTGGCCCAGAGAGCCTTCGGGGAATAGAATCACATAGAGCAACTACAAGCAGTTTACACTGAGCCCGCCCCCCCCCCCCTGCAAGGGGCGGTACAACTCCCCCCAGGCCAAGACACCTGAGGGTCAGCACAGCAGGCCACTCCCCGAGCAAAGCAGCTGGAAGAACAGGGGAAGAAGTTTAGGAGCCCACAGGAGTGCAAAACTCCAGCACTAGGGGAAAACAGTAAATTGAATTCAAAGGTTATTTCATGATTCGTTTATCTTGCAGTTTAAAATTTTCCTTTTCTTTTTTTCTTCCCAACTAGTTTCTTATTTTATCAACTCTTTCATTTTAAGTCGTTTTTGATTGTCATTTTCTACATTTCCATTTTTTAGAGATAGTCTTCAGTTTTGCTTCCTTCTGCTACATTCAATTTTATGTCTGTATATATGTAACCTTGGTGATTTTACACTTCTGGGATTTAGTGTCTTTTAACAAACAGGCCAAAATACACCCAGGATTTCATGGAGGTTTGACCACCTGGGAGATAATATTCTCTCTTCTCCCACCCCCCAGCCACCCCCCACATTTCTTTTTTCTTCTCTTTTTTGGTTTCTGACCTCTTCGGATTTGACTAGTGTGTATTTGCTTGCGTCGTGGTTGATATTTTTTATGTTGCTCTCTTGTTCCTCCATTCTTCTCTGGGCAAAAGGAATAGAAGGAGGAATTCACAACAAAAGAAAGAACCGGAGGATGTACTCTCTGCCATAGATCTAATTGATATGGACACAATTGAGCTGAGCCTAAACCAAGAGTTGGCCGTTCAACTGACTGAGCCACCCAGCTGCCCCTCCATTTGGTTGAAATGGTAAAGACATTTATTAATTCACATGAGGGGCATTTATTAATTCACATTATCCGATGAGGGGCAGAGCAGGCTATAGGCCCACAGGGGCTTCGCATGGTTTTAGGGATGCAGTGTCCTTCCAGTACTTCTCCTTGTCCTAAGGCTGGTTCCCTCAACGGTTGTCAGAAGCCCTTCAGTGGTAATCTGGGCTTCAGCTCCCTGGTTTAGAACACTGAAAGTTTGGTTCCTTGTAGTGTAGACCGGGGAGAGTTTAGGCTACCATAGCATTTTCCAGGTTATAGTGTAGACCAGAAAGTGAAGGCTACTATAACATTTTCTAGGTTGTGGCTGTTGTGTTTCTTTGTTCCTGGTTTTCCCACTAGGACTTGCTTAAAGGGTGTGGAAGGACCGGTTCCTAATCCAGAGCCGGGGGAAATACTTAGGTAGTCGTTCGTGAGTTTTCCGGAACGATCCTGGATCTCCTTTCCTATGGACACAGAACTTCCGGTCGAGCAGAGTTCTCTGACTGGCTCTCACCCGTGGGTTTGCTGAGGGAATAAGTGGTGGCAGGTTTTCTAGGTGAGGGATGAGGTGAGGTTCTGTGCTGTCTAGGGTCTTGGGGAAGGAGGTAGGCGCACGAGTAAAGAAAGGGAAGAAATGGCTGCCGTGGGGACGGTGACGGGCCATGTGTGCGAGCACCAAGACGGATGGCTGAGTCTGCCGACATTTGTAATGGAGTACCAGACGTGCCTCTGTTGGCCTTTTGAGGTAGATGAGCTTTTAGGGATTCACTCTTCAAAAGAGGGAGTTCCAGTGTTCATTCTCTCCAGTGGCGAATGGAAGTGCTCATTTCCCAACATCCTCACCAGCACGGTGTATTAGAAACCTTTTCATCGTGGTTAATCTGATATGTGAAAGATGGTGTCTTCAGTAATGTTACTGTATAATTTTTTTTACCGATTTTCTTTCTTTATTTGACAGAGAGAGACACAGTGAGAGATGGAACACAAGCAGGCTTCCCGAGGAGCAGGGAGCCCGAAGCGGGGCTCGAACCCAGGACCCTGGGATCATGACCTGAGCCAAAGGCAGAGGCTTAACGACTGAGCCACCCGGGTGCCCCCGTCATTTTATTTTATATTCCTCTTATTTTGGGGGGTGAAGTTGAAGATCGTTTTTATATGTTTAAGAGCCATTTATATTATCTTTTACAGTGAACTGTCTGGTCAAGTAAGGAATTCCTTTCTTGACCTTAGTAAAATGATAGTAACACTGTTAGGCTCTGAAGTCCTTTCTATCAAGGCAGTGAAGGGATTTGAGATGGGAGGGTGACTTAGTCAGATTGAGAAAGTGACCAAATGACCACAGTCCTTGGGCATGCAGGGAATCCTCACCCTAAAGATGGAGCCTATGGGTAGATTCTGTAAGAAATGGAAAGAAAGTGCAAAGTGGTGGTTCCTGAGAATAAGGACATGGACCTTACTTGGAGCTGAGGGTGAACCCAGGCATCAGGGAGATGGGGCCAGGCCTGGCTAAGAGGCCTGAAATCCTCTCTCCCAGGCTCCTGAGGCAGCTTTCCTAACCAGGGCTACAGAGGTGGGAACCCAAGTTGGGGCCCTGGGAGCTAGACGCCCCAGGCAGGGTGTCAGCCGGCCTTCCTTCCTTCTTCCTCTGCATGGGCTGGCATCTCCAGACCGGACCCCCTAGGAGAGGGCTTCCCAGGCAACATGTGGTGAGCATCTTTAAAGTTTTGTTCCAATAATCTCTCTGTTGTGGACGATATTCTATAACATACATGAAAAATGATTTCCTAGAAAGATAAAATGCAAGAGACACATCAAATAGAAGCTCAAGTTATTTATGAGGAGAATCAATAGACGTAGAATTCCTATGTCACATTGCAGTAAGTTTCTAAATGCTACTGAAATTTTGTTCTTAAAGTAGTTATACTTTAAACAACAGGGCTTTAGAACAGATATTATCTTCCATTTCCCCCACTTAGAACAGATACTGTTTTCCATTTTCCCCCCTTTTATTCCTCATCGCCTTCACTCCAGCTCCCCAACCCACAGCTGAACCAGTCCATTTATTCGGCAACGTTTGCTCATGCCTTCCCCTCCCGCAGACGGTCTATGAGGCCACTTTATAAACAGGGGCTCTTACCCACACAGGATGGAGAGGAAGGGAACGTGGTGGAAATACGGCTTTTCTTTTCTTTTTTTTTTTTTTTTTTTGCTTTGACATTTATCTGCCCCATTTCCTGACCCCAGAATCTTATTTTCGTCATGATCTCGCATTGTTGAGTTTTCACAGAGTCTTGAGAGGCTTACACCTAACCAAGAGAAAGTACATTTCCAAGAGGAACATTTAGATCTGATTTTTCATGTAAAACCCTTGTCTTTCTTATGTAAAATTATGGGACTTTTTTTTTTTTTAAGATGGTTAATTCCACCATCAAGTAGATTGTACTTACTTGAGTTCAAACAGCTTTTTAAAAAAAAAAAACTGGGTGTTACACGCAAATCATGAATCATGGAACGCTGTATCAAAAACTACTGAAGCACTATATGGTGATTAACATAACCGAAAACAAAAAACAAGAGAATGTGAAAGTCACTCTTTCTCCCATGAAGTCCACAGATAAACCGCTGACCCCAAAGAAGAGCAGAAGAGTCCTCATTGGCTCTTCTCCTGGGCTGGGCTCTGCAGGGATGATTTCCAACCTGACTGAGCGATAGCTTGTCTCTGTCTCTCGGGATATTTTGCTCGAGTCCATGGCATCAGCCAGCTGCTGAAGGCATTTCTACGGAAGACAGAATGTCATTATCAAATTCTAAATCTTGGGGCTGGGGTAGATACCACCTTCTGGAGATTAAAGGTAAATGAAAATTCCCCTTCTTCTTTCCCGAATTGTTTCATTCGTGAAGGTGCCCGCCTGGTTCAAAAATGTTAAAAATATATTCAGAAGGAATGCAGTGACTGCCTGTCTCGCGCCCCTGTCCCCAGCTGCTTGCACCTGCTGCCACCCTCAGCCACATACGTGATGTCCCCAGGGCCTCGCTGAAGGATAGGTGCCTGGCTTCCCATCCTTTGCTGTTGCAACAGGGGTTATGATAAAAAAAAGTCCTTGTAGACATGTCCTCAGCACGTGTGGAAGAGCCCTGCCAGTGGAATTGTGAGACCCAGAGCCCCTGCATCTGCCATATTGACGATAAGGAAGAGGTTTCCTTTTTTATTATGTTATGTTACTCACCATTCATTACACCATTAGTTTTTGATGTAGCGTTCCGTGATTCATTGTTTGTGCATCACACCCAGTGCTCCGTGCAGAACGTGCCTTCCCCAATATCCATCACCAGGCTACACCATCCTCTCACCTCGCTCTCCTCTAGAACCCTCAGTTTGTTTTTCAGAGTCCATAGTCTCTCATGGTTCATCTCCCCCTCCCATTTCCCCACCTTCATTCTTCCCCTCCTGCTATCTTCTTTTTTTTTTTAACATATAATGTATTATTTCTTTCAGACGTACAGATCTGTGATGCAACAGTCTTACACAATTCACAGCGCTCACCATAGCACATACCCTCCCCAATGCCTTATCACCCAGCCACCCCATCCCTCCCACCCCCCACCACTCCAGCAACCCTGAGTTTGTTTCCTGAGATTAAGAATTCTTCGTATCAGTGAGGTCATACGATACATGTCTTTCTCTGATTGACTGATTTCGCTCAGCATAACACCCTCCAGTTCCATCCATGTCTGATAACGATGATTTTATGGTCGTCATGACAGTGTCCTCGGTACGGTTTGAGGATGTGCAAGGCTGGGTGATGGTGATATGAAACAAAGGCCTTTTGTAGCTGTTCCCTGATTTGGTCCCTCACCTGCTCTGTTAGGGGGCAAGAACAGGTGTATGTAACTACGCTCATTGACGGGAAAGGCGACGGGTCTGGTTAGTGGCAGAACCAGGACAATAGGACTGCAGCTCCTGCAAGTCCGGGTTCCTTCCCTGTTCTCTACACAGGGCCTTGTGCTTGTTCAGGGGAATCTTTGCGGTCTGTCGATTCACGGTGTGTGTGTACCTCAGGCCCCACGTCTGTGTCCCGTGTCATAAGTCATAAAGGCACAGCCACGGCGCTTACTAGGGCAGGTCCTGCTGGGAGAGTCTCCCGTGTATGTATTTCCTCAGGAATCCTCACAACCCCGTGAGGTGCTATCACTTTCTCTACTGTGCAGACGAGGAACGCTTGGCCCGGGGAGGTGAGTGACTTCCAGCGCCTCACAGCAGACACGTGGTGGAGCTGGGATCGGAAGCCCATTCCCCGGCTCCAGAGTGCCGGCCCTTTCCCCCCACCGTGCTCTCCTCTCACAGAAAAAGTAGTAGTACCACAAGCTGGTGCTCGCCCTCACAGTGTGGGGTGCTTTGTGATATTTGCTCTTGTATCCTATTTGATCCCCTAAATGCTGGTTCCCCCCCCGCCCCCCCCCACAGTGGTTTCCTGACCCTCCCTAATCTGTCTCAGTCTGGGTTTTGGAAAAGTCTGTTAGGTTCTACTTCCCCAGCACCTCTCAGTGCGTCCCCACCTCTCAGTGTCCATCCCCGTGGCGGCTGCCCCAGTTCAGGCTCCCCATGACTTCTTCCCTGGACCTTCTTCCTGGATGGCTGTGAGATCCTCCTAACTTTTGTCCTCCGTCCGTTCTCCATGCGGAGACCAAAGTCACCTAAAAAATACATTTCTGACCATAGTGTTCGTAATTTAAGGCGCTAAGTCCACCTTTGCTGTTTGGGGCCTAGTGTTCAGTCCATGAAGATGGTCGGTCAATGTATGAGGGAATGCAGAATTAGAAAACGTACTGTGTATTTGTCCTCAGGATGAAGATCTTCTCCCAGGTAAGTATTCTGAGGTCGACTTTCCAATGATAGTCACGAGAAAGCCGCACAGCACCACGGAACCTCACTGTGGGGTTGCTCACAAGGTCCTCGATCTTGGGACGAGCACGTGGCCCTGCAATGCTCTATGAATGGAGAACACACAGGATGGACGTGCCATGCACACACGTGCTTTGGTCAGACTGAACTCCCCTTTTGACCCCACTATTGGGGAAAAAAAGAAGCAAAAGCTGTGGAAAACTCACACTTTCATATGTCTGCCAGCCTAAAGAGTAGGTCCAGTACAGCCACCTGCCCCAAAGACGTTGAAAGATGTGCCCCAGATAACGGGGCACATGACAGTCACCTGCAGGAGCTCTCAGAACCACCCGTCGTTCCTGTTGCAGCAGCCTGATGGTCTACCAATTCCGGTCTGTTCTGTCATTTCATAATCGATCATGTTTCCTGTCAAGCATTAAAGCAGCCCCAAAGAAACCTGGAGAAGAATCGGCTCCCAAATCCAAAGGGAGAAAGGCTTTTTCAAAAGCTATTCAAAATTAAACTAAAAGTCGTCCCAAGGCGTTTCCACAATTCTTTCCTCGCAGTTCCCAATTTCTCAATGTCAAGGTCTTGGGCAGTCCGGTCCACAGGGGCCCGGCTTTGGAGACAGCGGCACCTCTACAGTGCCTGGATGGACGCCCGAACCTCGTAGGCGGATCCGATGGGCTCTGATGGCCCCTTACTTATTTAGTGCCATGAGGCACTGGGAGGTGGAGGGTCTGCAGCGGCGGGGCGACCCGGAAAGCCTGAGGCCATCGCCCGCAGAGCACAGCGTCCGCTCGGCCTGGGGCTCACTGGTTCCCGGAGTTTTCAGCCAGGGCAAAGCCCGGGGGAGGGCAGGGGAAGGCTCGGGTCCAGTGCGCCCAGGGCGATGCTGGGTGGGGCCTGGACAGAGGGCGACGGGGACAGCCGACCCACCCAGCTGCTCCCCAGGGGCTCGGGCAGCGGCACCGAGCCGGGCTCCAGGTCTTGGCGTGGCGCAGCCCCAGGCCCAGACCCCGAGGCCTGATGTGGGGCGGCGGCAAGGGACAGAGCGCGCGACCAGGAGAGCAGCCGGCCCTCCCGCGCCCGAGCCTGGTCTGGGCTCCTGCCGATCCGGATCGACGCGCTCGCCTGCCCACGGTCTGGTTGGTCAGCTGCTTCATGCAGCTGGATTGCTTCTTGCTGGCGGCGGCGGCGGGGGCCGGCACGGCCAGGGCCGGGCAGCTCGAGGAATCGCCCGGGGGGAGGGGGGCCGACGTCGCTTCATGTCCACCCGAGGCGGCAGTGGAAGCGGCTGTGGGCCCGGCGCCCCCCCCTCGCCGCCTCTCATCCAGTGGCGCGGCAGGTCGGGGCCTTGGGAGGCCAGACCCGGGACGCGGTACCCAGCCCGTCCTCCACCCAGGGCGGGAACCCCGGGGCCGCCCTGTGCAGGGCCCGGAGGCCCCCTCTCGGGCACCGCCACCGCCGCCCGCGACCCCCTGCCGGGTCCAGCCGCACACCTCCGCGAGGCAGCGGATGCGCGCAGCGCACGGAGCCACCGGTGAACCGCCAAACCCCGGTGTGGGACGCACTGTCCCCGCAGAGCTGGCAGGGCACGGAAGGACGGAACACTCTGGAGCCTCTGGAGGCTGGAAATGCCCAAAGTCTCCTTGAGGGCCGTGCCTCTGCGCAGGTGTAGATATTTGTCAAATGCACCTAGGATCTGCTCTCCTAGGTGAATGGATGCATTGCATGCATTGCATGCATTGCATGCATTTCCTGGGGGAAAGTCCAGGGCCAGATGCATTTTCTGTGGGCGGGCACCTGGGGGCAGTCAGGCAGGAGCACTCGCTAGGGGCCCACCCAGGACAGCCAGGAAGCAGGGGGAACAGGGGAAGGGGCCCAGCCCTGCGTGGGAAGTCGTGGGGCTGAGCGTCTGGGACCGGGACCGGTGGCCAGAGTCGGCCCTGGGAAGGCCCAAGGTCTCGGGCTTTCCTAGCAACGTGGCCTGCGCAGGGGAGGCGCGTGCCGGGCCCGCGCAGGCGTTGCCTAGAAACGCCTGTTGTCTTCTGATTCTTAGCCTGGCGCAAGCAGGCGTTCTGGGACACTTGGCGGGGTAGTCCGACTGCGCTGGACGCTTTTCCACAGCGGACCGCGACAGTTATATGACCCGCGAAGATGTGCTCCTGGGTTGGTGGCCTGGGCTCTGGCCTAGGCCATTCCCAGGGAGGAGTGGATGGCAGTGAGACTTCCTTGACCGGCTCCAACTCGGATCTCACCATGGACTTTGGTGATGTCATATCATCTCAGACAGAAATCAATAGACTCCTCAATGAGATCCAAAGACTGGAGGCTGATCTTACACTTTGGAAACATTTGTCCAAGGGACCGAATAGCTCAGACTCCAATGCCATCTGGAAACTGAAGAGCACCATCAGGGACCTAGAAGAGAGGCGGATGAGGGAGATCGAGGAACATCAACTCGGAGTTGCGATACTGCACAGTGTCCATCAAGAAAAACTGGCCGACATCACTGACAGGCACCGCAAACAACTCCTCGAGTATGAAAGACGGATAGAAGACCTGCAACATCAAGAGTCTGCCAGTCATGGGAAAGATGACTTACTTCAAGAAAGGGAAACTGAGCTTAGAAGGTTGAAGCAACAACTTGCAGAAATGGAGCGGCTGAATGACCGTTTAAACAACGTTGCTTCTGATCTCAGAGCAGAAAACCAAAAGTTGGTTTTGGCGCTCCAGGATGTAAGACATCAGCTGGAAGAATCTATTCTCCGGAACAACGAGGATTCTCTGGAAAACAACACTGCTGTGAGGGCTTTAAAAATAGAAAAAGGACGGTTAATAGCAAAATTGGCTCGGGCGGAAAAGAAGCTGTTGGAGGAAACAAACAAGGATGAGCAAACTATCAAAGAATTGTCCCCTTTAGAGCATGTGCATTGCATTCAACACAGTCAAGAGAAAGACCTGGAAATAGTACACCTCAAAAAGAGGATCGAGCAGATGGACGCCGACCATACAGAAACGAAGGAAATGCTGTCCTCTGCTCTGGAGGAGCAGAAGCGATTGACACAACTCGTTAAAGAGAAAGAGATGTATATTGAAGAACTTACAGGAAGTCCAGAGCTTCAGGAGGAATTCGGTCAGTCTACCCAAACCTTCAGAAGTAATGACATTTCCCAGCCATCCGTGGAGGACAAAGACAGGTGTCTCCCATCCGTGACAGGCGAAAATCCTCATCTGAGAGAAGAACTGGAGAGCCTAGGACAACAGAGTCGCTCTGTTCCTGCGCTCGACCCTAAAATCCTAGACGAGATCGTAGAACTGGAGTGTGAGGTGTTTCAACTCCAGGAGTTAAAGGATGATCTCGAGGAGGAAATCAGAGAGCAGCAGAAGATCATTCACAACCAGCAGCAGGGGAAGATAGGACTGCTTCATTCTTTACAAGAGCAGAAGCAGAAAGTGGAGCAGCTCCAATACCAGCAGGAGCAGATGAATATTGAACACGCTCAGCTCCTTTCAGCGAAAGACGAGGAGATTCAGCATTTGCAGGACACGATAGACCAAATGAAAGCCCGGTTGCCTGACAAAAGCCAGCACATTCCGACAGAAGACTGTGATGATGTGGAAGTCCCAACCAGTCAGCCTCTTCCCAGACAAAACGCAAGTGAAAAGCTTGATTCACGTGAAGCCGAAACTCAAATATCAGTCCTAGGAATCAAAGAACACGAACTGGAGATGAAGCTTCTAACTGAACAGAACATCCGACTGACGGAACAGATCGATCGGCTCTCCAAAGAGGAGATTGGTAAACTAACTCAGATTATCCAGCAGAAAGACTTGGAGATTCAGGGTCTTTCCAGCAGGATCTCTGCGGCTTCTCACAGCCAGAACCGGGACGTGGAGCGACTTCAGCGGCAATTGCAAGAGTACGCTTGGAAAAGCGAACAGGTCTTGGCGGTCTTAAATGAGAAAACGAGGGAGAACAGCAATCTGAGGACAGAGTATGACAAAATGGCGGATAGGATGGCTGCCACAGAAGCAGACCTCCGGCGGATGCAAGAGGAAAATCAAAAACTGTCCACTAGAATGGACAGTAGTGGTCAGGAGATGTTTAGAGAAACGATTCAGAATTTATCACACATCGTTCGAGAAAAAGACCTCGAAGTGGATGCGTTAAGTCAGAAATGTCAGACTTTATTGACACTCCTGCAACCCTCCAGCCCTGGTAATGAGGTTCGAGGCGTTCATATGGATCAGTTCAAGCAGCTTCTACAGGAACGGGACACATTAAAACAGCGAGTGAAGATCATGGAAGAGTGGAAACAGCAGGTGATGACCACAGTCCAAAATATGAAGCGTGAGTCACCCCAGCTTGAGAGAGAGCTGGCACAACTCCAGGCGCGGGCTTTCACCAGCAGCGAGAAGGATTCTGAACTACCGACGACCTCTAGTGACCTGATGCAGACGTACAAAGGCAATGAAATAAAATTACAACATTTAGAGAAGGAACTGGCACAAATTCAGCTCAGCATCGGGGAGCTTTGCAATGCCAAGGATCTCCTTCTAGGGAAACTGGACGTGATTTTCCTCGAGCCCTCCCCCGACTGCTCAGAGTCAGCGGACTCTCTGGAGCCCGTGAAATCTGACAGAGTGGGTGAGGCTTCTGAGTTGCTCCAAGTGGAGGTAGAAGAGCTGAGAAAATCAATGCAAGAAAAAGATAGGATGATTCGAACCCTCCAGGAAGATAAGCAGAGATGGACTGATTCAGTGGCTGCCACGTGGGAAGGAGAAGGCCCAGAACAGGAACACAGGGATTCCGACATCGAGCAGCTGAAGGAGAAACAGGCCGTTCTACAAAACTTCATTCGGGATCAGGAGCTCCGAATCCAAGCGAAAAGTGAGGACTTGCTTTCTTTGCAGGAGAACTTCCGTAGCCAAGTGAGTGAAAATGAACTTTTGAGGCAGACGGTCACCAATCTGAAGGAGAGAATAGCAGAGTTGGAAATGGATGTGTGTCAACCGAGAGAGGAAAATGCAAAAGTCGAGGAAAACTCTCGAGAAAAGGCAGTGGGAGATGAGGCATTGCAAGAGACAGATAGGCTGCTTTCAGTGATGCGGAGAGAGGAGGAATCCCAGGGTGCTGCGATGAAAGAGAAGGCACTTGCTTTGGAGCAACTATCGCAAGAGAGAGAAGAGCACGAGACCGGGGTATTGAACCGGCCGGTCAGTGCAGTTCCATCAATGCAGGGAAAGACAGTTCTGTGCCAACAGGGGAGAGATGAAGTCCTGTTGGCCCTGACACAGAAACAAATGGAAACCTGTGCCCTCCAGAAGGAGGTTTGCCATTTACGTGAGAGCGAATTACGCCTAACCCAGGAGCTGGAGAGACGGCGACACCTCGCTCTAGAAGCCGAAGACGCTCATCGCCGGGAAGCTCTGGCCTCAGAAGACAAAGTGGCTCAACTCAGGAAGGAAGTGACGGTCTTGCAGGGAAGACTCGTTTTGTCTTCCACTGCCATGGAAAATGCCAGCCGAGGAGCCAGTCTGCAGGTAGAGTCGCTGCAGGAGCAACTGCACGTGGTGACCCAGCAGAAAGAGGACACTGCGCTCCAGCTTGCTGCCTCGCAGGAAGAAGGAAGGCAGTATGGTCACATCCTAGCTGACCTCAAGTTGGAACTCGCCGAATGGATGGAAAAGGCAGACAGCCTCGAAGGAAAACTGAAGTCATTGCAGGGACGATTACATAAAACAAATGCTGACTTGGAGCTGAAGGAAGACCAACTCCAAGAATTCCAGAAACAGAATGAGGTCCAGCAGGAAATCCTGGAGGACACACAGAAGAAACTGATGAACTTAGTCAGTAAGTCCGAAGGAATGGTGGACAAAACCCTACTAAGGAGACTCTTCCTGGGATCTTTCCAAGCCCCTGACGCTGAACGGCAGGAAGCCTTAAGGTTGATGGGAAGCATGCTGGGGATCCGAGAAGACCAGATGCGGCAGCTGTTCAGTGAAGGGCCAGGTGGTGGTACCAGCTGGATGAGTCGGGGGCCTGGATCCAAAAGCGCCCCCAACACACGTGTGAAGCCAAATCACCGACCTATGGCCAAGAATTCTTTTTCAGGGCTTTTCGTCCAGTTTCTAGAAGCGGAATCTCATTCAGCTTTGCCACCACCAAAGCCCTCTGCTCATGACGTGAAGCCCCCAGATCCCGGAGGAAGGGGAAAACTGGCTATGAAACAAGGCCCAGCACGTCTGAACACTACCCTAGCATCCACATCCCGGAAAAAAGATGTGAAGCCCCGCACCACAACGGTGTCTCTTATTACCCCACCTGGACCGGAAGCGGATGGATCGGAGCACCTTCTTCTAAATGCCGTCACTGATGCTTTGCCCACGTACGCACCCCAAATACTGTCACCTGCGGAGAAGGTTGGAATGGCGGCCAAAGGCCTCTCAAAGAAATAGAGGATTCTCAAGCCAGAGATGAGACAGTGCTCGGAAGACCCCAAGTCACTCTGTGTGTTTACCTAATCCCAAAATGTCCTTTTGCAAAACGTAATATATTTGCAGTCTTGCTTTCAGCTTAATAAAAATATTCTTTTATGAGTTAACAAAAAAAGGCATCTTTTAATGACTGCAGAGGTATTCACCAAACTGAAAATGGTGGGTATTTCTTATGAGAGTAGACACTGGTGGGGTTGGGGGCTGCGGTCAATGGTACTTCCAGTATTGTTTGTAATGCTTTGATGTTTTCATAAGGAGCATGTATATACATATACCTTTGGTAAGGAAAACATCCACTCGTTTTAATGTTCCCAACTTATCAAATACATGAGCACCCACGCCTTGTTGGAGAAACTGGGTGTATAGCATGAAAGTTTAAGATGAATACATTTTTTTAAAAAATGCGAGTTTGATTTTCCCAGTTATGTCCCATTTCTCTTTCTCCTTTTTTATTTTTAATTGTTTTTTCCATTTCATTTTATGTTGCCTGGGAATCTACTTCATGGGTAACCTGATTTATCTCAGGCCTTTAGAAATATATGTATATTTGTCTTTTTGGGCGTATAGTATTCTATGACTTGCTTTTAAAAAAAAAAATCACTCTGCCTTCGAGATCTTTACAAATGTGAATGAATTCCAATTCATTCTTTAAAAGGAAATGCAGGCCTTTGTGGATATACCCTAAATTACCGAACTAGCTCCTACTGATCAGTATTTAATCGGTTTTTACTTCAAATGTCCATGGTCAACTCCCTTGTTCCTTTCCTCAGAAGCCACTCCAAATCTTCGTTTGCAGTGCCAGGCTCATTACTCCACTATACTCTGGAAACCATCCACTCAAACTTCTTTTCTTCTCCTTCTCCTTCTCCTTCTCCTTCTCCTCCTTCTCCTTCTCCTTCTCCTTCTCCTTCTCCTTCTCCTTCTTCTCCTTCTCCTTCTCCTTCTCCTTCTTCTTCCTTCTCCCTCTTCTTCTTCTTCTTCTTCTTCTTCTTCTTCTTCTTCTTCTTCTTCTTCTTCTTCTTCTTCTTCTTCTTTTTAACGATTTTATTTATTTATTTGACAGAGCAGGAGAGCACAGGCAGGGCGGGTGGCAGAGGGCGAAGGAGAAGCAGGCCCCTTGCTGAGCAGGGAGCCTGATGTGGTGCTTGATTCCCGGGTCACTGAGATCATGACCTGAACCAAAGGCAGACGCTAAACTGACTGAGCCACCCAGGCGCCTCCCATTCAGACTTCTTGAAAGATCTCATTCCATTAATTTTCCATTGTGCTGTATCTTCAGCCTGCCAAATATCTTAAATCCTTCCCTCCCTTTCTGTTGCCAGTGCTCTGGTTCACCCATTCCTGTCTCTTGCACAGACTAGTGCAGTAGACTGCCTACTGATCTTGCTGGTTCCACACTCGGCCTCCTTTGAATCCATTCTCCATGCTGCTGTCAGGGCGAACTGAGACGAAAATCTGATGTCACTTCCCTGCTGCCATTATTTGTGGGTTCCCTCATTGCTTGGAGTTCGACCTTTAGGAGACCATCCAAGCCCTTGCTTTTGCAGCCTTCCCTCCTGCGCATCATTCACATACAGGCTGCCCTTTAGCCGCAGGGAATTCTTACAAGCCCCCAATAGATTCTTATCCAAAGAACTTCAAGTGCATGAGCCTCATCGTTGTGCCTTGCCAAAGGTACAAAGCAGAAGGATTTCATTTTTCTCCTCTTCACCCGTTGGTAAAGGGAGTGATTCCCACCCTAAAGTTATGGGATGTCCGGATGCTGAACAGATGAGCTCGACACTAATTTATTACCCATGTCTACTCGTGGCCCACACCATGCAGGGCCACAAGGGGGTTTTACCTGGGAGCAGAATGAAGAAGGGCTTTGGGGCGGGGGCAGACCTTGTAGTAACAAGAGAGTGACGGTGAGCCCTACTTCCTGCAGGAGGGCATGACTGGCTTGCTGGATAATTGCACACGCTGTCAGGGAAATGGACCTTACTCCTTGGGGAGAAACTGTGCCTGGTCCCTGGGATAAAGAAGGTCGTTTGGCCAGGAGACCTGATCTGTGGGAGCAGAGGGGGAAGGGAACTTTGGGTGAGACCGAGGCCATTGGAGGCCCTCTGATGTTCCCTGATACTAAGACAACACTTCCTATTGAATCTTAATCTCAGGCTTTCCATCACAGTGGACTCTGATATCTAGACATCAATTTCAACCTGGGACTGAGACTTTTAAGGAGTAGGACAGGTGCTTCTCTAGGAAGTGAAATTGTCACGTGAACAAGAGGGGGAGTTGGTCTTCAAAACCAAAATGTATCAACGGTCATTGATGGTCACTCAGTTGATCCCAAGGGAATCCTTAGGTAGCCAAGGGGTAGAAGGAAAGGCTGACGTCCTCCAGCACCATGGAATCTGGCAATGGACTGTGGATAGAAGCAGCCACCCCCACCTGCAGGTTGGATATGCAGACTTTGGCTTCAGCCTGTAGCAAGAAGGCCTTGGTAACTACATTAAGCTGGTGGGGGTATCATGACCCGAGGCAGAGCAGACAGCGGGATATGAAGGCTCAGAGTCTGTAAGAGACTCCGTTTCCAGGAGAGCCCAGTGCATGGTCAGCAATTGCTGCTTTCATGGTCTATAACCCAGGGCCAAGGAGGGCCATTTCTTGCATTGGGAGTCCATGGACGATTCCAGTGACTCCAGGAAGCTGGAGAGGTAGTTGCTAAAGCCTTTTTACTTAGGGCACTAACGGGTGATTTTTTTTTTTTTTTTTAAGATTTTATTTATGTATTTGAGAGACAGTTGGAGCTGGAGGAGGAGGTCAAAGGGAGTGGGAGAAGAAGCAGGCTCCCCACTGAACAGGGAGTTCCCTGCCAGGCTGGATCTCAGGACCCTGAGATCATGACTTGAGCCAAAGGCCGACGCTTCACCAACTGAGCCAGCCAGTCGCCCCCTCACAGTTGTTTTGGACAGATCCTAGAGCCTTTTGTTGAGGGGAGCCCCACCCAGCGTGGGCTCAGTGACAAGTAGCAGCCTAAATGGGCTTATGTAAAATTTATAAACAAGGAATATGTTGCCTCTAGAACCAAAAAAAAAAAAAAAAAAATACTGACAGAATTTGGACTTGTATGTCCTTCCTTGTTTGTAAGGATTTTATTTGGTTACTTGAAAGAGCACGAGAGTGAGAGCACAAGGGGCTGGTAGGGGCAGAGGGAGAGGGAGAAGCAGGCTTCCCAGTGAGCAGGGAGCCTGATGCGCGGCTTGTTCCCAGGACCCTGGGTTCATGACCTGAGCCGAAGGCAGACGCTTAATGGACTGAGCCACTCAGTCGCCCCTGCACCTGCATGTCCTTAACAAGTGTGTCAAACAAATGTCCTCACAGTAGGTAGTCGTAAATGTGATGTCATACCTATGTCCCTGGAGAAGGACGGGTGCAGTAAGATCCTGCCCACAAAGATGTCTGTGATAGCAGAGAGGTTTGGGTGCCCTGTGCTTAACAAGGTAAAATGTGTCCCCTTCAAAGTCAAGGCACATTTGACCGAGAGGATGTTGAAATACGCATGGAACAGAACATATTGGCCAAATCTATATTAGCAAAATATTCCCCATCCTTAAATTTGTTGGGCTCCCTTGTGTTTTTTTTTAAAGATTTTATTTCTTTATTTTAAAGAGAGAGACACCTAGTGCACGAGCCCAGTTGGGGCGGGGGGGGCGGAGGGAAGGGCCGAGTGAGCGATTCCCAAGCTGACTCCACCCTGAGCACGGAGCCTAACATGGAGCTGGATCCTATGAACCTGAGACCATGACTTGAGAAGAAAGCGTAGCCCACTGAGCCACCCAGGTGGCCCTAGGGGTCTCAGAGGTTTTCAGGGGACCAGGATTTATTTTAATCAGGTATGATAAGTTAGGAAGATATAGAAGTAACTGTCACAATGGAAGAAGTTTTGTAGATTTAGAGGCCCCAAGAAAGGAGGTTCTGAGAGCCTTGCAGGGCCACCTGGGGAAGCACCAGGATTGGTCAGGAGAAAGAGGGAGTGAAGGGAAAATGTGGGCAAGACCCTTTATTGTGGTTTCCATGGGAAGGGACAGGTGAGGCAGGATAAGCACGTTTAAGACTGGCTAGTTTGAGTAATTTCAGGGGGCTCCAGGCCAGAGTGGTGTCTGCAGGAGTCTGTCCCGCCCTTGCGGTGATCAGGGAGGCCATAGTGGCCCAGAGCTGCTTAAGATGAGGTGGTTGGCAGTAAGGGTTCTGTACCGGTTGGTTTGGATGTGAAAGGTATGCTCCCAGGCCAGTTGTGGACTTTTTCTAAGAATTAACTAAGCCTGCCAGGGACAGTCCCTCCAAAGTCAGCAAGTCTGAGATGTCAAAGCATTAAATACAGAAGCTAGAAAATACGGTTATTTTACTAGGTACAAGCATAATTGGAGCCCTGGTATCGAATCCATGAAGGTTACCCAACTGGTACATCTTAGCAGACATTAACGTTAATTCAGAACCTATGTTTTAGAGGGCCAAAAGCCAGTTGACCTCATTTTATCTTTTGCCATATAAATTATCTTAGTAAATTTGGATTTCTTTTTTTTTTTTTTTTTTTTTTTTACGGTTTATTCATTCATTTGAGAGAGAGACAGCAAGCAGGTGTGAAAGAGCAGGAACCAGGGGGAGCTGCAGGCAGAGGCAGAGGGAGAAGCCGACTGACTCCCCTCCAAGCAGGGAGCCTCTCATGGGGCTCAATCCCAGGTCCCCGGGATCACGGCTGGAGCCGAAGTCGGACGCCTAAGCATCCGAACCACCCAGGCGCCCCTGTGAATTTTGGATTTCCAGTTGGGTCAAATTGTGAACCTATGTCGAATTAATTTGGGGGGGTTCCTCTTCCTGTATCCAGTTTTCTTTCTTCCATTCCTCCTTTTCTTGGGTTTGTTTGGTCCTGGATATATGCTTGGGTTAGGGAGTGTCTTTTTACCCTGTTCATCTTTCTCCGTTTTTTCTTCCAGAGAGTCTCCAATCAGCATCATTAGGGTTGGAGCCTCTGTCGTGGCAATGGTCGTATGGTTTCAGGTGTCCTGGCGTAAGTCAGGGTGTGAATTGATACCCTCACTGTGCCACAGGGGTGCCACGGATGTTTCCCCCACGACCCTGAGGATGGCGATCTTGTGCCAAACAGGTTTAGGCAGTGGGGTGGTAAGTGAAAGAGCACAGGACCCACAGCGCAGACGTTGATAAAGCCAAAGCATCTTCTGCTACAGCCCTACCTTCTCTCAGTGTGGACGGCTTCCCCTCCCCCCTTTTCCCACTCTACCGATTCCCTCAGGAGACTATTTCATTTCTAGCCCCATAAAGTCATGGGTTTTTGTTTCTGTCTCCAGCTATTCAGACGTGGTGCACATGTTCTGGGTGTTTATGGGGAAAGGGAGCTGGGTGGGTCGGCCCCACAGATGACTGTCCTCTTCCTGCGGGCATGCCAGTCCATCTCCCCAGTGTTGGAGTCCACAGCCAGGAAGGTCATTTTGTCCATGGCCAGAGTGGGAGCCTCAAGGCCCTGGATCCAGAGATGAGTCCCTGGACGCGCTGGGAAGCAACAACACTAAGAGAAAGCAAGTGTGTGGAGGAGGGGTTTTGCACTGGGAGAGAGGTGGAGCACCAAACGGCCGACCCTCCACTTTTGTGTTTCTCATCAGCTCCTGGGCCCTGGGCTGCCATGGATGTGCGCCTCCAAACCCTGAGGGCTCCGGGGGACACACGGTAACGGGGAGAGGAGCGGCAGCTGGGGAGATGGGCAAGGCCACTCGCGTTGCCTGACCCACAGTGACTCAGGAGGCAGCCAGGGAGCCATTCTTACATCTCCCTGGGGTCGTGGCCCCCTTCCTTTCCACCCACAACACAGAGGGTCATCCCCAGGACGGTGCGTGGGGTGCGCTCTCCCCACCCGGATCTGTCTGTCTGCCCCAAGCACTGGCCCAACACCCAGTCGGTGGAACTCAAGCACCCCAGTCAGCAGGTCGTGGGGTTGCCGACCTCAGCGGGGAGCCTTGGAGACCGATACAGGCCAGATGGAGGTCACACTGATGGCACCTCCCTCCTAGGTACAGTCAAGTCGCATCTGTACTCAACTTGTTGGCAAGGATGGGACATTGGTTTGGAAACGGATGGCGACCTCCATTGGAGCTAACAGAACACGAGCTAACACACAAGCTGGCCCGCAGTTGCCAGTTCCCTCCCAGATCGTGATTGTCCCCTCTGAAGCCAGTTAGGAAGCCAAGGAGCACGTCAAGCTGACCCCGTGTCCTCAGTTAAGGTGGGGCCACCCTGTTTGTGATGTCACTTGCTTTTATTCAGCTTCTCCTCAGTTCCCTGACGAGAGAGAGATTCCTGCTCTAGGCTTGTAGGGATCCCTTGACACCTGACAGATGTGACTGGCAGCAGTTGACTAGTCACATATTCTCACAGTTCAAGGGAGGAGGATACCACACACTGTGCAGGGCTGCACAGGAATTGCACTTGGGAACAGAGGGAACAAGCAGGGGCTTGGAAGGCAAGACTTTGTCCTAACAAGAAGGTGGGGCAAGTCCTGGTTCCCTTGGGAGGGTATGAGTGGCTTGCTTGAAGAATTCAGTGGGCTTCTAGGGAACTGAACGCTGCTCCCCCAAATCAACAGGCACTATGTCTGGTCCCTGTGATGAGAAGGGTTTTTGCTTAGGAGACCTTACGTGTGAGGGAGGAGGGAGAGGAGAACTTGCATTAGGCTGTTTCCGTCCCTCCTTGATTGTCCCTGGTGTGAAGACAGCCCTTAATATGGAATCTTCATTTCAGGCCTTATGCCCCAAGAGGTTATGAAAATGTCAGCCTTCTTACAACTACTAATGGCATTTCACAGTGAAACAGTATACAGAAGAAACATGTAAAAGTTGTATTGCTGTATGCTAGCAACGAACATGTGGGCTCCACTATCAAACATACGTTCACAATTACTAGTAAAACTATACTTAGGGATCAATCGAACAAAGCATGTCCAGCACTCGCATGCCCACAGCCGTTAGCACTGATAGAGGAAATCGGAGATATAAATAAATGCAGAGATATACCATGTTTGTGAATTGGAAGCCTAAGCATAGTGAAGATGTTCATTCTGCCCAGATTGATAGATCGATTTAATGCAATTCCTGTCAAAACCCAGTCAGGGTTTGTTTTCTTTTGTAGATTGATAGACAAGATGATTCTAAAGTGTATGTGGATAGACAGAGGAATGAAGAGTAGTTTCAGAAACAATTTTGAAAATAATAATAAAGTGGGAACATGCAGTGTACCCAGTTTCAGAACTTCTGCGATAGTTTTACTAAGGACGATTGTGTGGTATCTGCAGAAGGACAGACACAGATCAATAGAACAGAACAAAGAACCCAGAAAGAGTCCCCACAAATACGCTCAACTGAGTTTTGAAAAGGGAGCCAAAGCACTTCAGTGGGGGGAAAGCTGGCCTTGCGACAGACTACAGCCATTTCAAGCTTGTGATGAACACACAGACGCCAGACTCAGAAAACAGCACCAGGAGCGAAGGAAGACGGGGCTTTGACGGCGGTCCCGCCAGGTGGTGACGGGAAAGGAGGGGTAGACGGTGCCCAGGGCTCTGTGGGCGGGGCCAGAGGAGGCACCCAAGGGGCGCGTCCGCGGGCCGAGCGGGCGGGAAGCTGTCCAATCAGCGTCTGGGCAGAAGCGCCAATGAGCGGGAAGGTTGTTGGGCGGTTGACGTGAGCGGCGGGTCTGAGCCCCGGCAGCTGAGCGCGGCGGAAGCGAGCCCTCCTTCCCTCTCCGAGGCTGGCTCGTCCCCCCAGCGCCCGGGGACCCGGTTTCGTTGTTCTCGGTGGGGACAGCACCCCGGAACCTCCACGGCCATGGGCGCTCGTCCGAGGACGGCCTCTTTCAGCTCCTGTTCGTCCTCCTCGACAGACCCAGACGACGAGGGAGTGCGCGGCCCTTGCGAAGATGCTTCTCCGTGCAGAGGTGCCTGCCGGGCGCGGGGACCCAGCGTCCCCGGGGGCCTGGGGCCTGGGTGGGGGGCGGGCCTGTGTCTCCGGAACACGCTCGTTCGCCAAAAGGGCGCCGTCACCTCGTGCGACCCTCGTTTCGCACGTGTGAAGTGCCCGGCGCGGGGCTTCATTCCTGGAGCGGAGAATGACCTCCCTTGTGCTGTGCGCCAGGCCTGGGGGGAGCGTGACTGGGAATGCGGCCTGCAGCAGGCCGGCGGGGTCTTGGCCTCCTTGGGGCTCGAGTCCTTATGGAAGCCCGACGAGAAGCAAGGAAGTCTAGCGTTGAGAGGGGAGGAGGAGTGCAGGTTCTTCCTCTTGCATAGGTCACATTCCGTTGGGGATCGTCAGGGTGCCCGTTGTGCACCTGAGATCAGGTCAGTCAAGGTGTGTTGGGGCGGGGCGGGGGGGATGGTCTGCCCAGGAGCACGTAGTAGTGGTGCGCAGAGCCAGGACTTTGCAGAGCTCTTGCGTGTCTGCCGCAGGAGGCTGCGTTCTAGGGGTGCAGTGGGGGCCGTGTTGTGAGCACAGATAGGTGTCGGAAAGCCCAGGCTGGGGTGTAGTTCGTTCGTTCGTTCGTTCGTTCAACAGAAAGTGTTGAGAGTGTACTTCGTGGTAGGCCCTTCTCTTTGGGGGGGTGGGGGGGGTGGGTATTCAGCGATTGGGAACCCAGGATAAATAGGACAGATACGGCGTCTACCCTATCACCACCTGGTTGGAAAAGACTGGAAGCAAATAATTGCCCATGAAATACATAATTACCGTTTTGCTTCGAGTGCTGAGAACTACGGGGTGCATTCGAGTTTGTCTTTTAGGCAGTAATGTTTAAGCTGAGAACAGAAGGCTAAGAAAAAAACGGGGATGTGGGAGGGTGTTCACTTAGAGCAGGGAAGGAGTGTGAACTGTGAAAGGAATTGAGGGAATGCCCTTGAAGCCGGGGCCACGTAGGGACTGTAGGGACTGTAGGGTGGGCAAGCCAAGGTTCGGGGTTAAGACTTGCAGTTTTTGTAGGTTCCTGGAGACTAAACATAGTGATTTAAGACATGGAGTCCAGAGCCAAGCTGATCGGAGCTCTGCCTCTTATGAGCTGTGTTCCTAAACCATTCTGGGTCTCAGTTTCCTGATGTGAGAAATGGAGATGATGATAATCCCACTTCTTAGATGATTGTAAAGATAAATGATATTTAACGTTAATGAAACACGTAGAGCCCTGTCTGACATGTAGTGGGTGTTAGTGGTGGTTGATTAAATAAAGAGGTAAATACATACATTGGTATTGAAGACTTGACGGTAGTGTGTGGTGAAATTTGGGAAGCTAAAAGCCTTCCAGCCAACTTCATTTCTTCTCCAGTGTTCAGGTGCTGTTGACCACATGTGTAGAACTGTTGAATTAGAAATAATGTTCGCATATCGACTGCTACTTGCTAAGAGACTCTGAAGTGCCATTGAAATAATCAGAAAATACTTTTCAGTAGCATAGTATAATTTTATTTAAAATGTATTGGTAGTCTTGATTATTTAGTATTTGTTGGTAAACGTTTTAGCAAACTTGCCTACTTAAAACAAAGTAAGTTAACTGTAGAGTAATTCAGACACAGCCAAAGGACAGAGAAGTAATATAACTAGAGCTTTCCTTTTCTTGACTCTCTAGGGGATAGTTTTTGTAATTTCTCTGTTCTTCTTTGCCTCAGTTTTCGATGCCCCCCTGTGTCTGCAGCCATCTAAACATTGTAGGGCAAGTTTGGGTTTGGAATTGCAGAGAGTACAGTGGTACCCAGCCCAGAGTGCACATCAGCAGAGCCTGTGGGGCTATTTAAAGAAAACACAGATGTTCACGTCCTCCTCTACACTCACTGAGTCAGAGTCTTCTGGGATGGGCCCGGGGCTCTAAAGACCACGTATATTTGTCATCTGGTTGCATTTCATGAAAGCCTTTTTAGCACCGGGCTTTCCTTTATCTGAACAACATGCAAGAAGATTGGGAGAATCCATAAGTTAACGTTTGAGGACATTTTGCAGGGCTCTGTCCTTCCAAGTTCTGTGATACCGTGATGTGCATCTTCACTGTAGTGTGTTAAACCCTTAAACTTTGTCAGAAAGTCATGTGATTAATAACGTAGAGATTCCTTGCGTGAATCGTGGGCAGATCACTTTGTGCCTCAGTCCTGTGTTTGGAATGGGGATAAAAATGGTAGCCCACCTTTGGGATGTAAGGATTAAATGAGCAATAGATCCAAGGCAGTTAGCACCGGGTCTGACACAGAGTGAAGCCTTCCCTAAATAATTCTTACTTCTTTTGCTTTCCCTCCATTATTTATTTATTTAAATACAGATTTTATTTACTTCTTTATCTTAGAGAGAGAGAGAGAGAGAGTGCATGCCCCTGGCGTGGGGCCAGAAGAGGAGGGAAAGGGAGGGGGAAAGAATCTCCAGCAGAATCCACACTGAGTGTGGAACCCAACTTGGAGCTCAGTCTCGGCACCCTCAGATCATGACCTGATGTGAAATCAGGAGTCGGACGCTGAACCAACTGGGCCACCGAGGCGCCCCTTGATTTCCCTCCATTCTGAATATTATTTGGTTCCAGCTATGTCCTAGCTGTGGGTTAGGCTGGTTCCTGCTGCCCTAGGTTACAGCCATAAAGCCCCTAAAATCGCACTAAGAAAGCCAGTTAGCCTCCCAGGACACCTAGGATTCCCTCCAGGAAAGGGAACCATCCCTTCCTCCCGTGACGGTGGTCAGCATCCTCCACAAAGGCCACTGGAAGCACAGCTGTCGTTAAACACAGTGGCTTCGTTACTCATCCTGAGGGGGAACCCACGTCATGGGGACTGTGGGGCTGATCCGTAAGAAAGAGGGTGTTAGAAAGAACTTACAGGATTTGGGCTTTGGGCGGATGTTTTTGGGAGTGTTCAAGGAAGCAGGGGTGTGCTCTGGTCTGGGTGCTGAGGCGAGGCGAGGCGAGACAGTTCTGGGATCGGGTAGCTCCATCAGTGTTTTCTAGAAGGAGGTGTGAAGAGCGTGACGGACGGTGTCATTCACAAGGAAGACACTCGCTGGTATCAGGCGGGAGAGAGGAGGATTGGCATTTGGGGGTGGGCACGACAAGCTGGTTTTTGTCTGTTTGGACAAAAGAGCAAGGGGTCCTCTTTGGTGTCCCTTCATCACCGGGGCCACGGCACCTCAAGCTGCTGTTCTGCGAGGTCATTTGCGTGCAACCGGAGAAGCACGTGGCGTCTCCTGGAGCGCCAGGCCCGCGGCGACCAGCCGTGCAGCCCGGCTCATGGTGCCAGGCCGCCTCCTCGATGTCAGCACTGCTCTTGCTTCTTTGCCAGTGGAGGGGGGAAGCCTTCAAAAGACAAATAGGTGTTTGCAGGGCAGAAGAAACTAGCCTGGCCGTGGAAGCCCAGGGCTGTGTCATCGGCACCTGACATTGGGCCAGGGAGCGGGGAGCAAGAGAGAATTCTGGGGAGGTTGTCAGAGAATGACTCGTGCGAGGACCAAGGGGTCAAGTGGGGGAGCTGACGTGCTCCGGGTTTTCGGACGGTCCCCAGGAGCCTCGTGGGAGATGCACTGCTGACAAAGAGCAGGTCTGTTCCCCTTTCCTTCCCTGTGGCCACAGCCCTGGCTCCGGTCCCTTCTCCTACCTGCTCTGTTGCAGCAGGTCCCTCTTGTTCTGCCTGCTTCTCATCCAGCTCCCTCTCCCATCCACGTGCTCCTGCTCTGGCCAGGGTGATCTTCTTGGAATCCCACATCTTCTCCTGTTACTGCGTTCCTCGAAACCCTTTGATTCCCCATCAGCCACAAGGTGAGAATCTGTACTGTGTGGCGACTCACTTTGCTTTTCCTGATCCTCTCACGGTTCCCTGGGTCTCCCGCTGCCAACTGGAAATCTGTATTTCAATGTCTCCGAATTATGGCAAATCCATTCTTTCCAAAACTTCTCAAGATCCCCTTCCTGTATTCTCCTCCTCGCCACCCCCCCCCACCCCACCCCAACTCCGTGAATCGGGCCACTGTGTCCTTCAGGTCCCACGTGCAAAAGGGAGGAGTCCTCTTGGAACTCTGCTTTTACTTCCTTACCCCCTTGTGTGATCATTCTCCCAGACCTGTGATTTTATCTGCTAAATATCTCTGGAATCTACCTCCTTTTCTCCACCTCTGCTTTTGCCCTCTCATTCCGAGTTAAGGTCATTTGTGGTCTGCGCCATGGTTCTAGTCTGCTTACTGAGCTTCCAGGCGCTTCTACCGCCTCCAAATCCCTATCTCCCCCTGAAGCCAGAGGTTTGTGGAAGGCCCATTCGTTCATGTCACTGCCTAGTTTCCTGGCTTCTTGTTGCCGTTCGAGATAGACCGAAACGTTCCTTCTGTGTGTGCACGGCTGCTCCGTCCTTCTTCTCCAGTCTTGCTTCCCGCTCGCCTTCCCTGCTGTACTCGATCCGGTCATTCCTTCCAATGTGCCCTGTGCCCGCCGGCCTTGGGGCGGCTCGGCTGCTCCCTCTGCCCAAGATGCTCTTTCCCCCACCCGCCTTGCCTCACGAGCTCTCATCTTCCCTCAGATGACTGCAGCAGTCACTGCACATTCTTTATTGAACGCCTTCTCAGTTGCCAGAGGCTCGGTTCTTGTGCGCTTCCCGATGTGACCCAGACAGACCTCGGTGGAGCTGTTAGGGAGCCTTTCTTCCAGGGAGAGAAGCAGCCAGGAAACACAGAGGCAAGGAATCTGGCGCATCAGGGGTCCTGGATGCTGTAGGAGCGTTGGAAGGGGTTGTCCTCTGAGCTGGGATGGCCAGGGACGGCCCCCTGAGGACAAGAGTGGGGAAAGCCTTGCAGGAGGTTGAGGGAGTGGGCCCTGTGCATGTCTGTGGGAACAGTGTCCCAGGCAGAGAGAAGGGCGAGTAGGAAGCCCTCCGTGGAGGGAGCTGGCCTGACTTGTTCCAGGAATGACAAGGCCAGAGTGAGGGAGAAGGGGAAGAG